TACCTGGTATTTACTTGGGTACTTATGCAGTATGTACCAGGTACTTATGGGGTAAGTACTAAATATCAGGTAATTACTATGTATGTTCCTTGTAAGTACCATGCACAAACCTAGTAGGTACCAGAAACATAGATTGGTACCCTGCTGGTACTATGGGCAGAAACTTGTGCCATCAGAAACTGAATCTGTATTTGCGTAATTTAAAATTAAATCCATTGGTTTGAAAATGAATCTCACTAAACTGAAACTGAACTTAACGGTTTGAAACTGAATTCATTTGCTTTGAATCTGGATTTTCTTGTATTGAAAATTCAATTTCATTACTTTCATTTTCAGTTCTATAATTCAATTTCAATTCCAGAATTCAGTTTTTTGTGTCACACATCCGGGTCCTTGAGAAGGCCACGGAGAAATCGAACCCAGATTGACAGAATTACGTTTCACATCAGTGAAACTTCCTTTATGGAGATGTAGGCTCGGGGTTCAGTCTCAAGGAGGCGGTAAAACACCAAAGAAGAAGAAGAACTTCCTTTACGTTGTATTTTGAGCAGGAACTGTGGCGTGCACATGAGTTCATGTCAAGTTCATGTAAGTGTCACTGCTCGAGCTCAAAATACGGCGTAAAGGAAGTTATTTTTCTTCTTTCGTGTTTTACGGCGGATTGCATCTGCTCTGTTGCATTATCGCCTCGAGACCGATCTGTGTTCGATTATACTCCGTGACTTTCTCAAGGACCCGGATGTGTGACACAAAAAACTGAATTTCGGAACTGAAATTGAATTATAGAACTAAAAATGAAAGTAGTCGAACTGAATTTCCAACACAACGAAATACAGTTTCAAAGCAAATGAATTCAGTTTCCGTTTAGTGAGATTCATTATCAAACCAACCGATTGAATTTCAGATTACACAAATACAGATTCAGTTTCTGATGGCACAAGTTTCAGCCCATAGGGTACCAGGTAGAGCTGTCATTTCTAACTCAGGCCCGCGCCGACCCGACCTGAGCCAGTCCGAAATAATGTGCTGGATGGGCGGGCTGTGTCGCACTTTTGATTGCGTCAGCGCGCAGCTGATGATCCAATTTGGATCACCGGCCGCGCGCAGCCGTTTGACCCCAGGCTGACTGGCCCAGTTGAAAGAGGTAAAAAAAAAAAAAATCCAAATGGCTCACTGCCAGCACTCACCTGAAGCTTAACTGGACTCAGCCGCTGCGTCAGCGGGTGCACACGGCCAACGACCCAATTTGGATAATCAGCCGTGCGCATCTGCCGACCGTTAATAACTTTAATAACTATAATGTTATAATAACTATAATAATCTGCTGACTCTTGTTAATAAACAATAAATCTTTTATCTTCCTTTCTTTGAAATACGTTTTTAAATCACGTCAAACTGATTTGCTTACAAAAACAGTAAAAGCTTAATTAAAAAAAAAAAAAAAGTCTGTTTGTTTTTTTTCGTGTTTGGGCCTGTAATCACAGTTAATTGATCGGTTTCGAGTCAGGCTCGGAAAAAAATGATATGAGTTCGGGCCGGGCTGGGTTGGATTTTTTAGGCCCAAATGCAACTTTAGTACCAGGTACGCACCCTGTAAGTACCTAATGTGTACCAGGTAAGTACTAGGTTGTACTATGTATTGCTGCCAATGGCCCTGACTCTCAGTAAAACCAAAGGTGAAACTCAAAACTACATTATTTTCTGCAGAAATCACTAAAATCTGCAAAGAAACGGAGCTTGAAATAATTAAACTCCTCGCATATTTGGCTAAAGTCAGTGTTACTCAGTAAAACCAAAGAGAGAGAAAAATCTCAGTGTTGCAGTTTGCTTTGAAACAGGTTTGAAAATTTGATGATGTTTTCTGATGGTTTATGCAGAATGCAGAAAAGTATTTAATGTATTATTATTTCTCTGTTGTTCAGGCCTCTATCAGGGCGCTGACTTACTGAACATGGCTTCAAGTCGAACCAGACAGCTGATGAAGCTGTCGAAGTCGATGTTCATGCGCTCGTTTGCGTAACGCATGGTGATGATGTCATACAGCTGGTTGTTGAGACGGAAGCCTGAGTGGGACAGAAGACACATGACTGTACAGTGACGAGAACAATCAGTGGATGAGGTCAGGATGGAAGACAAACAATCTTAAAGGTTATGGATCAGAAAACGTGAGATAAAAAACAAGAAATGAGTACTTCAGGAACATCAGTGAAATCCAGTGTCGCCATCTTCAGCTACAACTAATAGCAAACATTAGAAATGCTTTTTAAACCTGTTGCATCATTAAACCACATCAGAGAACTTAAGGAGTCCCTTGATAAATTCAGAAATGTACTTTAAGATGTTCACATTAAGGTAATTTTTTAAAGTAAAAAAAAAATATATATATATAAAAAGTGCTTAAAACAAATTTATATGGCAGCTTTAATTCATCCATCTATCCATTGTCTTTTACCCGCTTCTTCCATTTTGGGTCACGGGGGTCGCCGGTGCCCATGTCCAGCAATCATTGTGCGAGGGGCGGGGGACACCCTGGACGGGTCTCCAGTCCATCACAGGGACACATAGAGACAAACGAGACAAACAACCATTCACTCTCTCACTCACACCTAGGGACATTTTAGAGTTGCCAATCAGCCTAACGTGCATGTTTTTGGTCTGTGGGAGGAAACGGAGTACCCGGAGAAAACCCACGCATGCACGGAGAGAACATGCAAACTCCACCCAGAAAGGCCCCCGGACCAGGATTTGAACCAGGGACCTGCTCGCTGAGAGGCAGCTGCTCTACCAGTCGCACCACCGTGCCGCCCTGTATTCCATTAAATAAGCTTTTTTAGTGCGCGTGTTGTAAACAACAACACCTCAGTCACTTTAGCAAATAAACTTTTTTAAATAATGCCAACATTTTTAACTGTAAATGTAATTTTCCAATGAACTCCCGTTACTGAATTATTTTTGATCAAGCCACAAGCACGTTACGTCTTTCACTTATTTGTTAACTCGGATTGAGCAAAAATAATCCTCTTAGTTTTCTGTTTCTTTCTTTTGTGTTTTGTTCAGACCTCACCGTTAGGAACTGACCAGAAGAAGCAGCAATATCTATTTCAATTCAATTTAGAAAATTGAATAGTCCTCTCAGAGCTCTGTACAAAATCATCCACATACATTATAAAATTAGAAGTTTTTTGATCTAAGGAAGCCAGCAATGTCTCATTATTTATATCTGGTGTGTTAAAATAATATCAGTTCATATGTCCGAATGTAATTCTATTGTTATTTGACAATGCAACTGTTGCGCAACATCCCAATATAGTTATAAAAATCGAAGAAATGCAATGTCTACATTTTCATGTATAAACTAATAAGAAGTGTAAATATAAAAACAAATGTTTTCAAATCCCATTGATCTCCACTATTTTTTTACATATTTTCACAGATTTTGTCTCTCTACTGCTACCTATACCACTCTATTCACAATAATGACGCATGTTTTGATGTACAGTATGCATATTTTATTTTAAAGCAGTGCAGCGAGCTACAGGAGTACAAAACCAGCCTCAGTGGTGGAGAACTGGCACCTTTAAATTCTTGTACTTTACTTGAACTAACATTGCCATCATTTAAATCTACTTTATTTAAAAAATAAATCAGATTTTTCTAAAAGTTGTAGCTGAAGGTGACTTAAAACATGTTAAAGTTTAATAGTGACTTCTATAGTGATTTAGTGAATAACAAAGAGTCAGTCAGGGTTGAGTTAGTTATAAACAAGAGAAATCAAACTATTGATTGAACTAAAAAAAGAAAAAGGACATTTTTTCTGTTAATACCTGCATCATTGACAGCATTCCTCATCTCGTAACTGTTGATACTTCCAGACTGGTCAGCATCGTATTGTTTAAAGATTCCCTAAAAGAAAGAAAACGTAACTAGAGAAACTGCATTTCCTGTAAAAATGCAACGTGAATGCTTATTGCTGAAGGATTTTTGCTGAAAGCTGCTGAAAAGAATTAATCTCTAAACTGACTTGAACAGCTGACATTTGCTGAAATAAGGTAAATAAAAGAACAACTTTGTCCCACAGCATGAAACAGCTGAGAGAAAATCTGTTTTTTTTTCACAATACCATTAAAAATATGAAATAAACCTTTGTCCCCACCTGCCACTGCTTGATCTTGTTCCACAGATGTCTGAACTCCTGCAGATTGAGTCTGCCTGTCCCGTCCATCTAACCAGAGTTAAGCCTAAAAACTGCAACAAGTCCAGTCAGCCACATCTTTCAGTTCTGATGAATAAAAAAATCTGAATTTCACTAAAAACAACTTCAGCTGTTTGAGTAGGACATCATTATTACTATCACAATGTCAGAATTAACTGTATTTATCAAGAGTGAGTTATTCTGTGTTTAACCAAGCCTTCAGTGGTGTGGTGCCACGTTGGCCTGACTCCGTGAGCGTCCATCACAGACCCTACCATGGGTCTTGGCAGGTTGTGCCTCCTGAAGGACAACACAGCCGGCCCGATGCACTCGATACAAAGGATACGTCCATCAGAGCGATCATGCTCCTGCAGCTCTCCAGACTGAACCCCTCTGTGCTCAGGTCCTTATCTGAAGAGAACAGAGACATTTAAAATATATATAAATAAAAGTGTCCTTTCATGCCAGAGAGATTCTGATCATCCCAGGGTGAGAAATGACAGAGTTGTAGCTGTTTTGGTCAAGTCTTGATGTGACACACCCAGTATGTGTTGTGAATGACTCTCAGCTACTACCACATCAAATCTGAGCTCAACATCTGAAAAACGGACTAAATAATAGCCTTATTTGTGATTTGTACTGCCTGAGATGACTGGAATTAGGTCATAAAAGTTGATCAGTTGTAGAAATACTTCCAACGATAACTGTCTGAAAGTTACCAGTGGTTCTTGAGATATTTTGCTAAAAGACAAACAAATACACATGATCACCTTTTGGTGACAGGTGATAAAAACAAACAAATTAAAAACATCATGGTGGGTATTATAATGATAATATAATTATAATAGTAATATAGCTGTTAATGACTTTATAGAATGACCAGTGGTCATTCCGTATGTTGAGGGAGTATCAGAGAAACTGAGACGTTTATTTTCTAAACATAACGTCCCAGTGGCTTTTAAACCCCAAAAAACATTACGGCAAAGACTGGTTCATCCCCAAGATCCAGTCCCCCGGCACAAACAGAGTAATATTGTGTATGTTGTTCAGTGTCAGAAGGGCTGTGATCAGTCTTACATCAGGGAAACTAAACAGCCACTGGTCAAAAGGATGGACCAGTACAGAAGATCAACATCATTAGGCCAATGGTCACGCTTTCAGGGATGAAGATAATCACATCCTTGATAGAGAGGAACGATGGTTTGAGAGAGGAGTCAAGGAAGCCATCTTTGAGAAGAGGAACAGTCCATCATTAAACGCAGCGGAGGCCTCTGTGTTCAACTGTCCCCCTCTTACAACACTGTTATTGCTAGTATCACTCAGCCCCCTGTGAAGAGCAAGCAGCCATCAGTGTGCTAATGGTCTGTCGTTAGGCTGATGGTCCTCCTTTATCACGTGAACAACTAGTTCTGGATGTCACCAGCAAACTGGTTGATCCATTATGAGAAGGTGCTGTTTATAAGACTGAGATTGTTGCAGCTCCTCAGAATGAAGAAGTCTTTTGGATAAAATATGAAACATTTCAACAAAGAAGAATCTGTCCAGAGGACCTGACTTCACCTTGTTAGATTTATCCACCTGGATTATTGAGCATGGATCAGGATATTAATGACTTTATATCATTCCCGGCCATGTGAACTTCCATTTGGACTTATTTAAAGTCTGTCAGACACAATATCACTTCTAATACTTACACAGGGGAGTACAGATGTGTGTTACTTTGATAAATTGGTATGAAGTAGTTCAAATGTTAGCCTTTAAATGTTAATTTTACTGGAACAAGCTTGACTCACGTTTGGATATCACTCTGTTGAGAACATTTTTCAGTTCATTGGCTGTGATTTCCATGTCCTGTGAGGACAAGAAAGACTCAACTGAAGAGAAAAGAACATCCAAATATTGAAAGCTGTCACCTAAATCAGTGTGTTTCCAATTTACAAAGTAACTGAGTAAACCAGATGTTGGTAGTATTTGTACTTCCAGTACTCACGTCTCCAGCTATCTCCTGAAAAATGGTTCGGAACCGCTGGTCCTCCTCACTCTCTTCCCCCGCTGAGGCTGGTGCTGGCTGCATCACCGATGGAGCCACAGGGGAGACAGACATGATAAAAATAAAGAAAGAATGTGGAGGACCACTTTCTTGGCATCTTGTTTTCATTAGACCAATTAGATAAGCTTCTTTATGAAAATGACAGTGAATGAGAATCAGACGAACAAACCAAACAATAAGCAAATAACTGGATTAAATTGTGGGTTGACTCCAAAAGTTAATGTAGATGTGCATCAAATGATATCTTTTTGCAAGTTTCTTGAAAATGTATGAAGTGAATCATGAGATGCTACGCTAACATACAGACGCACTCAGAGAAACATGACGAACACTTTCTGTATCTGCAGAGCTACAGAAACAACAGACTTACCACAGGATTGTCGGCCTCGATCCTGTTCTCTATCTCCCTGGGTGAAGACGAACAAACAGCGTCACCATGGTGACATCATCAACATCATCAACATCTCTAAACCGTAAGCTTGCATTCTGTTATTCTCATACAACATTAAGCACATAATCTATTCATTCATTTTCTTTTACAGCATTTCCCTGAAGAATTTGTCTATCTCCAGCAGTCACTGTGTAAGGGGTGGGGGACACCCTGGACAGGTCTCCAGTCCATCACAGGGACACACAGAGACAAACAGCCATTCACTCTCTCACTCACACCTAGGGACAATTTAGAGTTACCAATCAGCCTAACATGCATGTTTTTGGTCTGTGGGAGGAAACTGGAGAACGTAAACTCCACTCAGAAAGGCCCCAGGCCAGGAGGTGAACCTGCAACCTTCTTGCTGAAAGGCAACAGTTCTAACCACTGCTCTGCTGTGCAGAATATAATCTAATAAATCTGAAATCCTGGGATTAAAAAAAATCACTCATCTTTTACACACATTGCAAGAAAAAAACACCAATGACATATAACATAACCTCATTAAATGGCAATAAAATCTAAGTTGAACACTGCCTGTTCTTTGTCCAGTTATGTGCTTTAGTTGAATTTTTTTATTTTATGTTTAATTAAAGCCTTGACGTGTTGCATTTTGAATAAACCAATGTAGTTATAATAGTAAATTGTTATGTGTTAACCAATATGCTTCCTAAAAACCTCTGTAAATGACTGATGATCAGCAGTTATATATTTGGTTTCATTGCCCATCACTGGGAAGTGTTTCTGTGCACATCCATTCCCAGACTGGTACCGGTCCATCCGTGTGCTGTCCTGTCCTCCTGGGCAGCAGAGACAAAGGTGGTGGTTTGCTGAGACTTGAGGAAGCAGCACAGAGGATTTTGAAAGTTTACCGGATCGTGCCCAAATCTGAAGTCTCTTCTCCTAAAAAAGATTCCATAACAGCTTCGAACTGGGGCCGATATCTTCCAGCTCTACAAATCAAACTGTCGTTAAAATTGTTTGTCCTTGGTGCAAACAATCTAAAACCACAGTAGCATCCACACACAGAGGTTAAAAACACAACGTTATACTTTCCATCTTTAGAGCTGATCGCATTTATAGAAAATAGGGCTGGGTATTGTTAAGAAATACATTTGTATTAGTTTGTTCGACAAAACTCAACATGTTTTACTGTTTAGTGATAAAAAAGCTGAATCTTTTAAAATGCAGCACAAAAACATGCGACAATGCAGAGCACTCTGAAATGTCTTTTTCCATATAAAAAGTACAAATTTTAAAGAAAAGAAAGAAGTTTCTATACATGAGCTTAAACCTCAGAATCTGCACACGCCCCCCTGCAACTATATGCTGCTTGTTTTGCATTTCACTTCTGCCACAACTCCTAACTTGATCGACTCCAAATGTTAATCAGCTGCAGACGTACATCCAATAACTATGTTGTGGAGGTTTTCTTCAAATCTGTCCAGTGTGTCATGAGATATTTTCCTAACAGACAACAGACTTCAACAATTACTGCAAATGTTTTAAGCAAAGATACCTCACACAATCAGTGGCACTTAGATATTACCCTCAGCTCATACCACGCTGAAATTTAGCACAATATTTATTACTGTAAATTAAGTAAGTACCATATTTTTCACCGTACATGTCGCACCGCCATAGAAGTCGCATCAGTCCAAATATGTTTAATAAAGTGGAAAAAAAAAACCATAAATAAGTCACTTCGCTGTATAAGTTGTATTTGTTACGCATCACCGCTGACCACCCAGAAATATGGGCCCATGTTGTGCCAAAAATGGATTGCACGGGAGAACTTGAACAAGAATTTAACAAGATTAACACTTAAAACAATTATTTGTTTGCTCGACATTATAGTAAAGGTGTGTCTCAGATGAACTTTTCCTTAATAAATGCACTTTAACGTTCAAATCAGCTGCATTTCACCTGGGCGGCGCAGTGAAATGCAGCTGATTTGCTCCAGGAGTTCTGGAGCGAGACGAAGGTGGCTTTGTATGGCAAGCCAGTTGGCTCATTAATATCCATTTGTACCTATTAATGAGACAATTGGCTTGCCATATTGCTCGAGGGCCCTCTAGTGACTGCAAAATGGTAATGTTTAATATTTTTCATGTCAGAATGAATGAAATCGTCAGATCTCAGCCAAAAATTTGTTTATACTGTAAATATGGGGAAAAACCGTATATTATTTGCTTTGGTGTATAAGTCACAGGACTTGCAAATCTATGCAAAAAGGTGCAACTTATACGGCAAAAAAGACGGTGGTCATTTTGTGTTTTCTAAGGTCAGTTGGCTGTGGTGGCCATCTTGAAGTGAATTGACCCCTAAAATTAATCATTTGAAGGTGTACATGCAATGATTATTTCCTGAAAGATTTAATAAAATATATGCTGTGATTCATGAGACACTTTGTGAAAAGACAGACACACAAACGGACACAGACAAAAACACGATGACCTGCCACATCAGAGAAATTAATAATTAACACAAGTTCTTCAGTTTCTATTTGTAGTTCAGTTTTTTAAAATCTTGGACCAATTTAATGTAATATTTGTGAAAAAGATGGATCAATGATTTTATTTGTGTAAGCAACAGATAACTAAAGTGAGGTAGTTTGAGCTGTTAAACTGGTTTTGGTTAGTTTTTATTGGTGGTGAGTGTAAGTTCTGTTTGTATTATAGCTTAAAGCCTCAGGATTGATTTTAAAAAATGACTAATCATATAAAGATGTGTAAAAACATGGAGAAAATTGAGCTTTTGTACTAATTATTTTTAATAAAACACATAAAAACTAGAGATGCACGATATTATCTGCATGGTATTGTATCAGCTGATATTAGCGATAAAGTTAAATATCGGACATTGGTCACCGATATAAAAGGCGCTGTACTTATTTATATATATGTATATATACATATATCTTTTTAAATATATATATATTTATATATACACAAGTATATAGTATATGTATATTAATATATAAAATTTTAAAGACGTTTTTGTACGACAACCCAGTGACAAGGATGCCTGCAGCGTCAGCACAAAGTGATGATGTCACACGCGCCGTTGAGTTTAGGTTTGTGAAAATTTACAAATTTACACTGTTCGAGTGCTGTCATTGTGTTAGAAAGAGTAAATGTCATGAATACATTTGACATTAAACATAATCCAAGTTGAAGTGTTACATCATTTTCAGCCCCCTTTTTAGCATCTGCATTTGGTAGCAGGCCAAATTGACAAAGACCATGCAGAATAATGTAGAATTTTACTTCCACAGCAGAGAAAGCTGTGTAGTCTCTGTAAGTAGGTCTAGGAAAAAAATATGGGTATTGGTATCAGTTATCGGACAAATAAGTTTTAACATATCGGATATCGGCCGAGAATCCGAGAATCCGGACGAGAATTTAGTGGAGTGGTGGCGCAGAGGTTAGAGAGGTGGGCTTGTGATCCGAAGATCGCCGGTTCACGCCCCGGCCCCGACAACATCAAAATTGTGGGTGGGGTAGGTGAAACACCCACACTTGCCCCCACCCTCATTCGCCCCACTCTGGGCCCATGAGCAAGGCCCTTAACCCCCACCATGTGCTCCCTAAACAGGTCTCTCTTGAAAATGAGTTCTCGTGGCTCAATGAGACTAACCTGTATAAATAAAGGCTAAATGAAAAAAAAATGAATCCAATATCGTACATCCCTAATAAAAACATAATATAAATCTGATATTGGTAGTAATTAATAATACCCAGCCCTACTTGGACACAAAGAACAAAAAAATAATTTATGAACGAGCATGTCTGACTCTAAATCTATGATGCGCCGAGGGGAAAACTATCCATTCCCTCCACATGTCGCCCCGCTCACCCCCTGCAGTAGTATCCACTCACTCTGAGGTGTTCTTCTTTTCAGAGAAGACCCGCAGGATGAACTCCCCCTCCTGGTGCGGCTCGTACGTGGAGGGGACGATGACGTACTCTCCGGGGCTCAGGCGGAAACGCTGCGTCACCTCGCGCAGGTTGATGTAGGACTTGGAGCGGGCCTTGGAGGAGTTGAACAAGAAGAAATCCTTCGGCATGTGCTGCTTGTTCCCGTGCATCTGCAGCACACAGCCACAATGGCAGGAACACATAAAGGCACCAAATATTAATAATTGTTCTAATGTTTAGAAACAAAACTAAAGGCATGAGTTTGATCATGTGTGGAGGAAATAGCAAGGTGCACGGTGCAAGGTGTGGTTCACATGCCGACGTCTCCTTCAGAGTGAACACTTTGTGTACACTGTCCTCACCTCCTTTGGCACCTGCAGAAAGACAAAAGCAACATTTTAAAGAAGAAAAATTAAACTAAAGAATGTCCTAATGCAAGCTCATTAATCCAGATAGACAAATCTAACAAGGTTGATTTGAGTCCTGACTTCTTCAAACTGAAGAAATCATTTGGATAAAAGAAGAACAAAGAAGGATGCATCCAGAGGACCAGACTCAACCGTGTTAAACTAAAGAGCATTTGTTTACCATCTATGGCCTAAAACAACTGGATCATTCACCTACATTTTGATGTTGGTTCGGGGAATCGAACCGGCGACATTCTGATCACAGGCTCACCTTCTCTAGCCTCTGCTCCACCACAATTTAGCACACAGAGTATGTGTTGCAGTGTTTCCCCTAATTAACTTGACATGGTGGGGTGCTCATCTCATCCATGATTTTTGTTGACGGGGGGGAAGGACACATGTCTGAGTGCAGCTTGTACAACAGTTTTTGAGTGTGTGTGTGTGGGGGGGGGGGGGGTCAGCATGAGGGAAGAGGCGCATTTAGCTTTTTAGCTAGAGCGCATGTATGGCACGCCGCTAGCTTGGCGCTATGTCAGTGCCGGGGGTCGGAGTTCGGTTTGGTAGGCGGGTTGCTTAATTTTGTTGACGGGGTGGGGCACCCCACTTGTATAATGGTAACGGAAACACTGTAATGACTCTCAGCTACTAACATGTCAAGTTTAGCTCAATCTCTTTAAAACTGACAGATTTATGGGTGTTTGTCTTAACTAATGTTTGATTATGAATTAAGGATAGTCCAAAATGTTATCAGCTGTGGATGTACGCCCAATGATAGAATTCAAAGTTTCATTAAAATCCATCCAGTTGCCCATGAGCTATCTGATATCTGATGTCAAGTTCCAGAGAGTGATTCTTCTTGTAAAAGAACTATATTATAGGTTCCCAAAGGACTAAAAAGAGTATTTGGAAAGGAGGGGTGATGTAATTTAGCCAAGTGTTAGAGTGTGCTGCTCGCATCATATTTTTTTTTGATTCATTCAAATTTCAAAGAACATCTGTGACCCCCCCCCAAAAAAATTCCCTATTAAACTGATGTTCAAATAAACTAAAAAATAAAACTGTAGTTGGCGTTTTTGTGTTTTAAAACATATCTTAACATTTCAGAAAAGTGTTTTCTTCACTGCTTGGTGTCAATGGTCAGTAAGAACCTAACTGGACACCTCATAAATGGCAAATCCGATGGTGAAGAGGTTGGCTCCCATCTTGCGCTCTTTTCGTCGGTTTTTCTGCATCAGCGAAACCACAAAGGTGCAGCCCACCTCGTTGTCGTCAGGGTCGTCGTCTTCCTCCAGAAGGCGAAGGCGGTACTGAGGATTGGTCCAGAAAGTGTCTGCGGGGCATTTGCAGCATCAGTATTATGTTTTTACACAGTTGTAACTTTATTCTCTTGAATGGTTTATAACTTATTTTAAAGGTCAGGCGATCAGATCCTGTAAATATGATATAAATTCAACGTTTACAAATGTTTTCCTATTTCTATTATTTTTCATGTTTTTATTGCAACTTAACTACTCCTGCATACTTAGTGATTATTTTAGCCATTCATATATCAAAATGTTCATTCAGGAGACGGGAGCTGACATTTGTTTTTTGTCAATTTTATATTTTTTTACAAATATTTACCTTTATTTATGCTTATTTACACAAAGACACACATTGAATCTCTTCAGTTCATTCCAAAACATTGTTCTTTTAAATCTGCTTCAAAATATTTGCTCTAATTTTGTCATTTCATGCTACTTTTAGTGTTTAGATACAATTTACCCACTTTTAGCTAGCTTTTTGCTACTTTTAGTTACCATTGCACTACTTTTAAATGCTAGCCTTTTGCTACTTTTAGTAAGCTTTTTGAGTCTAAGGTTTTAGCAAGCTTTTTGTTATTTTAACTTTTAGCTAGTATTCGTATTATGTTAGCTTTTAGCTAGCCTTTTGCTACTTTTAGCTTTTCTTTTGCTACTTTTAGCCTTTGACAATGTTTTGCTACTTTTAATTACCATTGCACTACTTTTAAATGCTAGCCTTTTGCTAGTTTTAGCAAGCCTTTTGAGTCTTTTAAGATTTTAGCAAACTTTTTGTTATTTTAACTTTGAGCTAGCATTCATATTATGTTAGCTTTTAGCTAGCCTTTTACTACTTTTAGCTTTTCTTTTGCTACTTTTAGCCTTTGACAATGTTTTGCTACTTTTAATTACCATTGCACTACTTTTAAATGCTAGCCTTTTGCTAGTTTTAGCAAGCCTTTTGAGTCTTTTAAGATTTTAGCAAAGTTTTTGTTATTTTAACTTTGAGCTAGCATTCATATTATGTTAGCTTTTAGCTAGCCTTTTGCTACTTTTAGCTTTTCTTCTGCTACTTTTAGGTTTTGACAATATTTTGCTACTTTTAATTGCCATTGAGCTATTTTTGAATGCTAGCCTTTTGCTACTTTTAGCTTTTGTTTTGCTCCTTTTATCCTTTAACGGGGCCGAGAGTGGGTAGAGGCAGGGCAACCAGTTCGGGACCCGAAATTCCAGGTTCGATCCCCAGTCATCGCACATCTCGGGGTGTCTCTGAGCAGCACACCCTATCCCCAAATTGCTCCCCAGGTGCTTTCAATAGCTGCCCACTGCTCCACCTGGTGGTGGATGGGTTAAATGCAGAGAGAGAATTTTGCCATTGTATGGAAACATACAATGATGACAATACATAACACATTAGTATTATTATTATTAACAATGTTTTGCTACCTTTAGCCTATGACAATATTTCGCTACTTTTAATTACCATTGTGCTACTTTTAAATGCTAGCTTTAGCAAGCTTTTTGAGTCTTTAAGGTTTTAGCTAGCTTTCTATGTTAACTTTTAGCTAGCATTTGTATTATGTTAGCTTTTAGATAGCTTTTTGATACTTTTGGCTTTTCTTTTGCTACTTTTAGCCTTTGACAGTGTTTAGCTACTTTTAATTACCATTGTGCTACTTTTAAATGCTAGCCTTTTTCTACATTTAGCTTGTGTTACTTTTAGCTTTTGTTTTGCTACTTTTGGGTTTATCTAGCATTTTGCTCTCTGTAACTTAAAGATAATGTTGGCCCTTTTTTATATTTAATAACTCGTTTTCAGCTTCCACAGCATTCACACTGCTTCTTGCAGAAAATGCCATTTCTCTAACTCGAATTATTTACATTATTTTCCCTGGACAGAAAGGAGTAGCCTATAATACACTGATGAAACACTTTCTCATATCAAATAAATATATCCCTGCTTTTTTTCCTGAACAGTGGTGTACCTGGGTAGTTCCTGCAGCCTCCAGCAGAGCAGCCCCTCACCCAGCGACCCTCGTTCACAGAAACTGTCCACTTGTGGATCTTATCATCCTCCAGAGCGTCAGGTGTGAGGTTACAGATCTCAATCTTTGTGTAATTCTTCTTAAAGTCCTCAAATGACATCCTGCATGGCACCGGAAGAGACAATGGACTTTTTAAAAGCAGTGCACATGATAAATGATAGAATCCAGGGGTGTTTGTTTTTCTATTCACACTGAGCATTGTTGCAGATCATAATTTCAATAATTTTCTCTATCAAAGCTGAGAGTTTTTGTGGACACATATTTTTAACTCAGCTCCAACACACTGTTTGAACAGTATGGTGGTCTAAAATCCACCTACCAGAACTCTCCATCCTCAGCACTTTGATGTTGCAATTTATCCTTTTCACCCTTAGAGATGGTGGCCCACTCCTTGGAGCTGTTGGGAGGAAAGGACAAAAATACATGGGGTAAAATTACCTTAACAAAAAAAAGATTTATCTAAGTTATTGAATCTAATTAAAGATATGTAAAGGTTAAAAATACAAGATGAAAGCAGTTTTTATTTAAAATAAAATAAAAAAACTTACTTGTCACTCCAGGGACCGTTCCATTCTACCTGACCCCATGGGTTCCTGAGTCGCACCAGGCGAACTTTATTGTCCTTGTTTTGAGACGGCTTACACTGTAGTCAAACACAAAATTATCGGAGTGGAAATCCAGATTTAAACTTATGTGTTGCTTGAACTACTTTTACTGGTAAAACCCAAAGTGAGTTTCCCTCTTGGGCTTATTATTGTTTACTGTGCAAAGACATTAGTTGCCATGTGTTGCCATATTCATGTGTTCTCGTTGAGAAGCTTGGTTTACCTCCTCCACTGCTGTCACAGAATAGGCGTGACCCTTCACAAGTCCTGTCACCGTACGAGTTTCAAAGCGAGCTGGGACCAGAGACTAAAAACAAAAAAATAAAATAAAGCAAAAACAATGAGAAGCCTGTAAAAAAGCAGAAATCAAAAAATGCAACTAGTTTGCTAGACATCTACCATATTTTTCACCCTATAAGTCACATTTTTTTTTGCATAATTTGCATGCCCTGCGACTTATACACCGAAACGACGTATTTATGGATTTTTTTTCATATTTATAAACCAATTTTTGGCTGAGATATGACTGTTTTCATTCATTCTGACTGAAAATATTGAACACTACCATTTTCAGCCGCTAGATGGCACTCGAGCAGTATGGCATTCCACTGTATCATGTAATAATAGGTAAAAGTGGCTATTAATGACACAATCGGCTTGCTACATATAGCCTACCACCGTCGTCTGCCTGAGCAACCGTCAAATTAGCTTCATTTCACTGCACTGCCCCAGCAAAATGCAGCTAATTTGACCATTGAAGTGCATTAATTAAGGAAAAGTTAAACTGAGACACACCTTTACCATAATGTCGAGCAAACAAATAATTGTATTTAAGTTTTAATCATGTTAAATTCTTGTTAAAGCCCTCCTGTGCACACTCCCTTTGGCCGCCATTTGGCAGCCAATCGATTTTTGGCACAACACCGGCCCACATTTCCGGGTTGTCAGCGGTGATGAATAATAGATGCGACGTATACGGCGAAGCAACATATTTATGGATTTTTCCACTTTATTAGACATATTTGGACCGATGCGACTGATAGGGCGGTGCGAAGTGCTGCAAATACGGTAACTACCTCCCACGCATAGTTTGTGTGATAATTCAGAGTTAGCGATTTACTGATTTCAGAAAAACACATTTTTTCTAACACCAAGTGCTTCTCTTGCAACAGTGTGTTAGTGGTAGGTTGCTAGATGTTTGTAGAGTTTATCTTTTTATGAGTGATCATACAGAAAGATGCAGATTTGCTGTTTCAAGGAAAATTTCACAAATAAAGCAACTGAGAAGCAGTGCAATGATTTTCTCACCACCCAGGGGTTTGTTTGAATAAGGAATGTTTGAAGTTTTCAAGTTTTTCTGGACTGGAATTAAACAGAGAATGCAAGTAAACCTTAATGTTTTTGGTGCAAGTTATTCAAGTGGGTAGGAGTTACACTGTGGAGAAGAATCAAAGTAGTTTTTTTCTGTTGTTTTTTTGTTTGTTTGTTTGTTTTCTTGTCTGAGGCAGCACAGACAGATCCTGGCAAGTAGAGAAAGCAATTTTATCCACTTCCAGGTGCAACGGGGGGAGCCAGGGGGTGGAAATCATTTGAAGAAACTACATTTTTAAGCAATATTAAAACGAGAAAGTATAGTTTCCTCATACGATAGTGGTGGTCAGATTACATATATGTATGGCAACGGCCATCTTGGATTTTGATGGGGAACTTTGCCTACGCCTTGATGTAGCCTCATGCAAAAATGGAAGTCGGTACCTCATTTATTGCACTCGCAACATGAACAGATTGATGGATGGATGGAGGGTTTTTACAATTCCCAGATTTTCTCCACAACAGGGATGAAAAATCCTCTGAGGGATGCTGATCAATCGCTTTACAAAGTGTTTAAAATTTTAAGGCCATAAATAATTATTTAACATTACAAAAGAAACCCAGCAATAGACTTTAAAACAAACTCAGCCCTCGTCCTCTCAGTTTGTGCACTGCAATAAAAATATCTCACATCAATGGAGCAGCCCATGAGGGAGCCTCTCTCCAGCGCTTTCTTCATGATCTTGTAGAGCTCTTTGGGAACTTCCTTCATCTCATAAAACTCGGTGACACCTCCAGTAAAATCCTCCATGGCCTCTGTGGTGTTTCCGCCCTTCAGGGCCTCATAGGATCCATGCAGCCTGGACACAAGAAGATTTGTGACAGTAACTTTAAACTGAGATTTTTTTTTCTTCTTTGCCATTGATTTGAGACTCCCATACACAGCTTAGCTAATTTAACATATTCACCAAAGATTTTGTAGATGAACATGTACTATTTTATTAAACAAAAACTTTAAACATTTTTTTTCAATATGTAAAAAAAGAAAAAATATATGTAGCTCAAAAAAAATACAAACTGTTCCAACCTATCCAAAATTTTAATCCAATTACAATCAAATTAGTCTGAAATATGTCACCCCTATAGATTTATGATATATCAAATAATCTTAAATGGCAAACTAAGATTATGAATTAATGCTGAATAATGTATGCAAAACAAAATCATAGTAGAAAGCACCTCAGAGTTCCTCAATCCATCACTCACTTGGCATAGGCCTTCTCCAGCAGGGCGCTCCAGAACTCGTTCCTCTCAGCAGACTTGGTGAAGACCAGCTGGTTGTTAAAAGTTGGGATGCGGTCGTCAATGACAACATCCACCCAGTCACCATAACGCCAGAACTGAAGGACAGAAGAGTTCAGGAAGGAGAATCCAATCAGATATACAGTGCATCCAGAAAGTGTTCACAGTGATGCACTTTTGCCACATTTTGTTTTGTTACAGCATTTTTCCAAATTGTATGAAATTAATCTCTTTCCTCAAAATTCTACACAAAATAATTAATTATGACAATGTGGTAAAAGAGATTTTTGAATTTTTTTTAAATAGAACACGAAGAAATCACATTTACATAAGTTTTCACAGCCTTTGCTTAATATTTTGTTGATCCACCTTTGGCAATAAATACAGCGTCAAGTCCGGTTTTCTTTTTCAGGCACCCCCCAATCATCTGACCTCCCATCACAACTTCTCATTAACTCTGTTCCTGTGTCAAATAAGCACGAGATCCTGAACTGTTTCAACAAACATTTAGTTGCTTCTAGGTCTTTATTTGACACAGTTACTAATGGAAAATCAGCCACTTCACTTAATAACCAAACTTCTACAAATCAAATCCCTCCTACAAGTCAATCCTCAGTTAATCACACCTTCTCTTTTTCTCCATTCTCAGTCAGTGAGGTTAATAAATTGTTAAAAGATCTTGATCCTAAAAAATCTGCAGGACCAGATGAGCTTCCTCTTTATTTCTTAAGGCTGGCTGCTCATATCATCACAGTCCCTGTGTCCCACATCTTCAATCTCTCCATAAGACAAAACTCCACTCCAGACACTTGGAAAACAGCCTTTGTTCTTCCTTTGCTGAAGGGAGGTGACCCCACCTCACTGAACAACTATCGACCAATCTCTAAACTCTGCATTTTAGCCAAGGTTCTAGAAAAACTGATAAACTCTCAAATCAAAAATTATCTGGACTCATTTAACATCTTACCTCCACATCAATCTGGTTTCAGGAAACAACAAAGCACAACCACTGCTTCACTGAAGGTTCTTAATGATGTTGTTGAAGCACTGGATGCTAAGGATTATTGTGCTGCACTTTTCTTAGACCTGTCTAAAGCTTTTGACACTGTGGATCATAACATCTTGTGTCATAAGCTCTCAGAAATTGATTTTTCAGATCACACCACTGGTTGGTTCTCTAACTATCTCTCAGACCGGAGGCAATGTGTTCAACATAATGGTACTTCCTCCAGTTATTTAACAGTCAACAATGGTGTACCACAAGGCTCAGTCTTAGGACCCACCCTCTTTACAATCTACATAGGTAATGTAGGTCAGAGCATCCTTGACACATCCTTGCATTTCTATGCTGATGACACAGTTGTTTATTGTCAAGCTACAACAGTTGCTAAGCCTTTCCAGTTTTGGCAATCTGCATTTGACATCATCCAGTCAGATTTGCTCCACCTCAAACTCGTCTTAAATGCTGATAAAACCAAAGGGATGTTGTTTTCAAACAGGAAGTCGGTCCCAGCAGTTCTTCCTCCAATTTTATCCTGAAATGGTGTCCCCATTGAGTTTGTTGATTCTTATAAATATTTGGATATCTTGGTTGACTCACATCTCTCTTTTAAGCTCCACATGGAAAACCTAGTAAAGAAACTGAAAGTTAAACTGGGTTTCTTTTTCAGAAACAGATCCTGTCTAACCCTGAATGCTAGGAAACGCCTTGTAACTGTGACTTTCCTTCCCTCCATTGATTACGGTGACATTATTTACATGAATGCTCCTACAAGCACCCTGCAGATGTTGGATGTCGTCTGTCATGGTGCACTAAGATTCATAACTGACTGTAACTACTGTACCCACCACTGCACCCAGTATTCACTGGTTACCTGGACATCATTAACTTCACGCAAACTCTCCCACTGGTATATTTTCATCTTTAAATCACTTCTCGGTATGCTGCCTTCATACATCTCCTCTTGCATGTCTCTGCGTGAGTGCAGCTACAGCGTGCGCTCTCAGGACATTATTACCTGCAGTGTTCCCTCAGTGCCCTCTACTCCTGTTTCATGGAATATCTTGCAAAAAGATCTGAAGCTCTCGACCTTGACCTCTCTAAGTGGTTTTAAGAATCTTTTGGACTCCTGGCAAGGACCAATGCAGACATGTTCCTGTTTTTAGTTTTCTACATTTGCCTTATAATCTAGCTGTTTTGCTATTTTATGCCATCTTTTTTTAATTTGTAAAAAAAAATAAAATCTGTATGCCTCTTTTATAATTGTCTATTGTTGTCGTTGTTGTCCACTGTTGTCATAATTCTTTGTTAAAATCAGGTCTCTCTTGTAAATGAGTCCTCGAGGCTCAATGGGATTAACCTGTCTAAATAAAGATTGAATGAAAAGTATTTTTGAATATGATGCTTCAAGCTTAGCACATCTATCTTTAGACAGTTTTTCCCATTTTTCTTTGCTGCAGATAACAAATAACCCGCAGATGGATAGCTTTGGAACCACCATCATCTCTGGAATGGAAGGAAATAATTAAGGAAATACATGCAATGGAGAGACTGACTTTTTCATTAAGACTTGCTGCTGATAAATACAATAAATATTGGAAGAAATGGAACATTTTGAACTGGACATCTAATGTATGATTATTGTAATTACCTCTCTTTTATTTAAATGTCTCATTTTGAGTTTTACTTTTAACTATATCTAATATACTTTTGTCATTCATGTTGCTCTGGAATTTTTGTTTAGTTAGGGTCTGAATGTTTAATGTTTTATGTTTAATGTATGTCTATCAATTATTATTATTATTTTTAATAAAAATAATAATAATAAAAAATTTTAAAAAGAGCTCTCTGGAGCAGGTTTTCATCCAGGATGTCTCTGTACATTGCTGCATTCATCTTCCCTCTATTCTGACTAGTCTGTCAGTTCCTGCTGCTGAAAAACATCCACATAGCATGATGCTGCCACCACCATGCTTCACTGTAGGGATGGTATTGTCCTGGTTTCCTCCAAACATGACGCCTGGCCTTCACACCAAAGAGTTCAATCTTTGACTCATCAGACCAGAGAGTTTTGTTTCTCATGGTCTGTGTCCTTCAAGTGTCTTTTGGCAACTCCAGACGGGCTGCCATGAGCCTTTTATGAAGAAGTGGATTTCATCTGGCCACTCTACCATACAGGCCCGATTGGTGGATTGCTGCAGACCCCCGATTGCTCAGTTTAGATGGCCGGTCAGCTCCAGGAAGAGTCCTGGTGGTTCCAAACTACTTCCAGTTATGAAAGATGGAGGCCACTGAGCTCACTGGGACCTTCAAAGCAGCAGAATTTTTTCTGTATCTTTCCCCAGATCTGAGCCTCAACACAGTCCTGTCTCTGAGGTCTACAGACAATTCCTTTGACTTCATGCTCAGTGTTTGCTCTCTGGCCTGCATTGTCAACTGTGTGACCTTCTATAGAAAGGTGTGGGCCTTTCCAAATCAAGTCCAATCAAGTGAATTTACCACAGGTGTGCTCCAGTTAAGTTATAGAAACAGCATCTGAGCTCAGTTTGAGCTTCATGGCTGCGAATACTTAGATGAATGTGATTTCTTGGTTTTCTATTTTTAACAAATTTGCAAAAACCTCAAAACATCCCTTTTCACATTGTCACAATGGGGTATTGTGTGTAGAATTTTGAGGATATTAATTTAATACAATTTGGAATAAGGCTGTAACATAACAAAATGTGGAAAAAGTGAAGCGCTGTGAATACTTTTGGGATACACTGTATAATGTCGGAAAAAGCGACAAGAAGCCCCCTCAATGCGGTCCCACTACCTGCGAAAAGCGTAACAGAGGTTGGGAGCTGCATGATAGGTAGCAGGTGAGGGCAGGGCCCAAGATATGCTGGTTCTTGGCATCATATTGGATCTAGGTACATGAAATGTTCCACAAAAGGATCCTGAGCTTGTGTGTGAGGTTGAGCGATACTAGTTAGTGCTCACCTCTACATACACTCTGGCACTCTGGAGCCTAAATCCTGGAGAGAGGCTTTGTCCTGCTGCAGTGTTGCCCCAAGAGAGAGGAGTCAGGCAGGTGTTGAAATACACACAAGCTTCAGGAGAGTGCCTCCGAGCTTCAAGAGGGGACGTTCTGACTGTTTGTGCTTGTACACCAAAGATCAGCTTAGATTACATACAGTTCTTGAAATCAACGAACAGTGACCTAGAAGGGGTACATCTGGGTATTTTAATGCCCAGGTTAGCAATGATAGTCTCTTGGATACGGAGAATGACTGGGATGAACAGCCTCCAGGGGGCAAGCTCACTCAAGGCTAGTGAGTCTTTGCCTTAAAGAAGTTCAAGTATCTTGAAGTCTTGTTCACCACTGATGGAAGGATACAGTAAATGGACTGTACTTATATAGCACCTTTCTATCTTATTGAGATACTCAAAGCGTTTTACAACCCAATCTGTGTCCTCATTTACCCATTCATACAGCACTCTACTAGATCTGTACAAAGAATAATCAGTGCTTTATCACATTCATACACTGATGGGACACACATAGGAGGCAATGGGGAGTTCAGTGTCTTGCCCAGGGACTCTTCAGCATGTGACTGCTGGTGGAATTGAACCCCCAACTCTTGCATTGGAGGACGACTGCTCTAACCACTCAGCCACAGCCGCCTCCAGTAAGAGATGGACCACTGTGTCAGGCAGACCCTGTTGCCTTCACGCCCCAACCACGGCTAAACCAAAACTAATGAATGAATGTAATATAAATGTTTTAAGCTGCAATTTAAATGAACACTAGAAAGGAAAATAGTTGCTCTTATTATTGATTTTTTTATTTTATTCCATTAGTCTCAAATATAGATTAGAAACAAACAACAACAACAAAAAAAAACCTGTATAATCCAAGTTATCACCATAAACTGTCCAAAATAAATTCAGTTTTCTTGCATGTCTGATAATTATTATAATTCATTGCACTTAACTTTTGAAGATGATGATGGTGTCAGGATATCATGTGAGAATTAGATGCACATTTCTCACCTGGAAGTGAAATATTCCGGCATAGTTTTCAGAGTAACTTTGCTCATGGGGAACGACTCGATACAGAAGTTTTTCATTCAGAGTGAGGCAGGCAATAGCAGCCAGCAACCAGCAATCACCTGAACAAAATAAATAAAAAAGGTAAACAATGTCTAATTTAACTGCTTGGAAATCTACGCATTGCATAAATCCTTCAATAATTATTCCTTTTTTCAAAAACAACGAGCTCATCTTGGAAATGTTTCGTTGTGCAGAAGGAAACGATTGCAGCAGAGTGCTGACATTTGCGCTTTCTGATTGCCCAGGTGTGTGACAGTGTTACAAACAATGCAATTTTTTTTTCCAACAGGGAACAGTTAACAGTGACAGCCAGGACCTTTGTCCCTGCGGTGCCTTTTACTTTGCTGTTACACGAAACAACAATGAGAAGTGCTGCTGGATGGATTCTCTTCCAAAAGAGTTAGCACAATGTGTGGAGGCCTCTGCAGACAGAGAGGCTGACAGCAGGGGGTTCATGGTCTGTGCACTAACTTGCATCAACTGTACATAAAGTGTTTTTGTAACAATACTTTTATAGGCACCTTTGCTTCAGTATAACTTAAATCACCAAAAAGCACGTTATTCATCATCATGTCATTCATCCTTTTAATCACAGTAAAAGTTTCCCTCACAAAATACCAAAAGCCATTTCAGCAGAAGTTGTGAAACTGATGGCATTACTGTTGCAACATTTACCTAGATCTCCCTGGCAGATGTCTGTCCTGCTGGCTCCGCCAACAATGAACTGAGGGTTCTCACAGATTTCCTGCAGATAACAAACGGGATTATTCTGTAACGGTTTCCTAAAACTTGAGGGTTTATTGTGGCTTTTGTCACAATATGTAACTAATCCATTTATTTGAGTCATTTCAAAACACATATAATTATTGATGATAATGTGCAGCTATCCAGTAACTGAACTCCTGTGCTTTGCTGCAGAACAAATAAGATATATTATGAATGCATCTTCATCTTCATATACATTTTGTCTCCATACAATAATCCATGATGAGTTGGACAACGTGCAGGTTTCCTTACAGGTTGCTGTATATCTAAATTACGCCACACCTCCTGCATGTAGGATCCATCTGCTGTTTACTTTACTTTGTGACCAACGAGCTTATCCATGTGCCAGCCAGGTTTAAGTTCTCCCTCCTACCTTGGGCCTCTTCCAGACGATGTTCTTGACCTTGTTGGACTTGTGTCCAAGTTCCTTGAAGCCCAGAGACTCCACAGTGGCCGGGAACGAGTCATCCTCAAACAGGCTCTTCCTCTGAAGGCACTCCTGACTCAGTGCGTTATAGTCCTGGCCGTTGAAGCGGATGGGCTTGTTCAAAGACCCTTCCCCATCTCTTCTTTCTCGCTCCCGGATCAACCGGTCGCAGAAAAAGCCAGACGGTGTATATGGCATCTCTACTCGACTGACTTTTGTTGCAGGAAAAAACTGGACTCGGCCACCTGTACGAAAAACTTACTTGCCAAAAGACCCTGGCATAAATCCAAACAGCTAATATCTGATTGGTTGTCTTTCTGTGTGACGTCCCTCTCCCCGTCGTCACAGAGTAGGTGCAGTTTGGTGTGAAAGAGATACACCTCATGCGCATTCACCTTCGCGCTGCCATTCACGCACGCACAGAAAATCACAAATCACATAAACGTCTTTTTGTTTAGTTCTTATTGGCTGATAGGAACAATGATCGTTCCCTGCCTGTGCTCTGGTGCCATCATTGTTGGGGGACACAAAGGCCAGCGGGCCACACCAGAGGGCATGTAAAGGGTGGTCAGTGGATGGCCTGCCTCAGCAGAAGGCATTCAAGCCCTTTAAACCTGTTCTCAATGGAGCTCGGCGTCGAGCAGTCTCAGCATAACTGGAGCTACAAATAGGAGCATCATCCATTTTTAACAAAGCTAGAAAATTATAAACTCTGTCAAGTGGCATGTGGTTTAAAGATCCCAAACTGTTTGTGTTTATGAAAAGTATACATAGAAGAAACTGGATTTAGGGGCAGATAAAGGTACCACCAGAGACAATACATTTTCTGTGAACACTTTACTGAAGAACTTTAAATGGTCGTCTGAATTAAAACAAGCAGAACACAAATTTAACCTAAAGGAAACAGAGCTAAAAGATAAAAGTAGCAGATAAGTAGCTAAAATTGACAAAGCAGATACCAAAGCTAAAATTAGCTAAACAAAGGTTCAAGAGAAATTAGCTAAACTCTAGCTGAAATTTGCAGACACTTTTAGTCAAACTTAGCTAAAAGTAGTAAAACAGGCTAAAGGTAAGAAAAAAACATATCGAAAAGAGTTAAAAAAGGAAAATGGTAGCTAAATGTAGCAAAATGTGACTTAAAAGCTAATAGCACCAGAATGGCAGCTAAAAAAATCTACATAGCAAAATAGTAGCTAAAAGTAGCAAAACTGTAACTAAAAGCTAAAAGTAGTGTAAGAAGACAAAAATTGAGCAAGTATGCTGATTTTAAAGTAAACTGTTATTTTTTAAGTAGGCTTTAAGTAAAGCTCTAATGCGGTTTTAAGTTTAGCTTTAAAAACTATATGTTTTAAAAATAAAAATTAGAGCATATTATTTCTGAACGAGCTGAACATTTTGATATATGAATGGTTAAAATAGCACAAAGTATGCAAAAGGACTGGGAAAAAAATGAAAAAAATCTATAAACAAAAACAAAAGTGTGAATGTTGACTCAGCTATCACTGTTAGAACTTTCTGTCAGGCAGGAAGGTCTGAAAAAGATTTTAAATTTATTTTTCCTTTCTAAATGAGGGCTGGAACAAATCAACACCTGTTGATTTGTTTAATATTTTAAATAGAAAAATATATTTTTTACAAAGTACTAAAAAAAATCACTTGTGTTGCCTCTTATGTCTGAAAGAGTAAACAAAAACATTTTATAAAGCAATTTAAACTGATTTTTTTTTCTCAATTATTCCTGAATTTCCGTAATATTTTGAAGTTTTATGGTTATTTTTGTTCATTTTATCATCTCTGACAAAAAAAGAACAATTGTAATAGTATTTTATTTGATAAAAAATGTTCATTATTTTTACTGCTGCTCAAACATTAGAATGTCTCAAAGAAGATTTTGGCTTATTTAGGTAATTGTTTGTCCTTTTTTTGTTAAGTCCCTAGTAAACAAATGTGAGGATGAAAAAGTACACATTACAATAACACAGAACATTTTCAGTTTGCATTTTGCTTTGTTTTAATTTTCCAATATGCAGTCTGTGACAACAGAATCTACATCAAGGACAAAGGTTTGTACTAAAAAAAAATTCATAAATTACAAAATTACTGTTTACAATTTGTTATTACTGCTTAACTGCAGATTTATTAAAAATTCCGATCTTGTGCTCAAAGCTTCAAATAAGCCTGCTTTAATGTGAACTTAGAAAAGTACAGCGATGAAGAGTTTGGTCATTCCGTTGTTAATAATACAATGTTTGATATCTCAAGACAGTTCAAAACAGTTTAAAAATGATAATTTACCAATTTGTGGAGATTTTTTTTGTTAATGCCAAGTAATCGTGAACCTCATCAGCAATAAAACCATCTAATCATTGTCCACTCAAATTAACAAATGGCTCTTACACATCAGCCAAACTGGTTGAGGTGAATAAGAAATCCAGACAAAATAAAACCTGTTGCTGACATGTCCACTGTTAGCTCATCTGTATCTCCCAGTCCATCGCCACTCTGAGGTTCAGATGTTTCACTGTCAGCTTGCAGCAGGCTTCTGAGTACTCAAATGCAGCTGAGATGTCTTCAGTGCCTGGTAATAAAAATACAACATGTTTAGTCTTAATGTTAAGTCCAGTTTTTGACACTGTGGATCATAACATCTTGTGTCATAAGTTCTCAGAAATTGTTTTCTCAGATCACACCATTGGTTGGTTCTCTAACTATCTCTCAGACCAGAGGCAAAGTGTTCAACATAATGGTATTTCCTCCAGTTTTTCAATCCACTTTCGACATCATCCAGTCAGATTTGTTACAAACTTGTCCTAAACACCAATAAAACCAAAGGAATGTTGTTTTCAAACAGTAAGTCAGTCCCGGCAGTCCTTCCTTCGATTTGATCATCGAATGGTGTACCTATTGAGTTTGTCAATTCCTATAAATATTTGGGTATCTTGGTCGATTCAGATCTCTCATTTAAGCTCCACATGGAAAACTTAGTAAGGAAACTGAAAGTTAAATTGGTTTTCTTTTTCAGAAACAGATCCTGTCTAACTCTGAATGCTAGGAAACTCCTCGTAACTGTGACTTTCCTTTCCTCCAATGACTACGGTGACATTATTTATATGAACGCTCCTACAAGCACCCTGCAGATGTTGGATGCTGCCTATCATGGTGCACTAAGATTCACAACTGGCTGTAACTACTGTATCACTGCACCCTGTATTCACTGGTTAACTGGACATCATTAACTTCATGCAGACTCTCCCACTGGTACATTTTCATCTTTAAAATCACTTCTTGGTCTGCTGCCTTCATACATCTCCTCCTACATGTTTCTGAAACGGAGAAGTGGATGTGGCCAAGAACGCTTGCAGGTGGCAAAGAGCAGAGGAGGCAGGGAGCTGAAATTATGACATTCTGTGCTCTTTTAGAGCGTTTAGAGTTTAGAAACATTGTTTAGAATATTGCAAGAGTGTGAGAGTGTGGGAAGTGTTTAAAATGCCTTTATATATCTATCTATATATCTATATATCTATAT